GGGGAGAGAGTATTGAACTGTGTTGAGGAAAATGTTACCAGAAATATCAACAAAAAACTTTTGGAGCCGTACACTAAAGTACAAGTCTTTGTCAGACTTCAATAAATACACCTCATGAAATTACCAGGAACGGATGGTATGTTTCCCATCTTTTTTTTTTTAAAAAAAGTTTTTGGATTATGTTAAAAATGATGTTTTACATTTTCTTTTGGGGGGTTTTTAATCTAATTATTTCAATTAACCCATGTGTTCTTTGAATGGATCTTTTAGTTATTAAGAAGGTTACCCAAAGGCAGTATGTATATATGGCATACCCTGTAAAATTTACAAGTAACCTACATATAGAGATGGTGGCTAGGGTTGTTGTTTCCATTATTATATAATTTCAAGGCCACAATAAATTCCTACTAAGATCAAGGTTTGGATTTGCAGAAATGGATCATACTTTCATCACTCTAATTTCTAAAATCAAGAACCATTAAACCTCTTCAGATTATAGGCCAATTAGCCTATGTAATATAGTTGTGAAGATGGTTTATATTAGAGATTAGAGAATGGCTAACATGTCTCTATTTGGTTTGAAAAGTGGCTGCACTATCATTTTGGTGCTTAGGTATGTACATCAAGATCTTTAGTATCTCCTATAACTTTGGTTACTGACTTGATTGATCCACATGGTCCACAAAGGATGGATATTATTAATCATATTGCTTTCCCATACGATGCACTCCAAATTAGTTGTGCTAGAATATCTCAAGAGCTGAGGATTTTCTTTGGAAATATCTATTGGTAGCCCCAATACTTTTATGTGTAAGACATATTGTATAGAAATTACCAAAAGATATATTCCCAATTCGATCTTGTTTAATTTATAAAGAGATATAAATTGATCTAATATGTCTTATATGGGGGGAGAATGATGAAACTATTGAACACTTATTTTGTAAATGTGACTATGCTCAAAATTATTGGAAATTAGCCTCATTTTAGGGAGGGCCTTTGCATTCTTAGAGATTTTATGGTTGGAAAAAAGATGGTCTCTCATCCTCAAATAAAAGAACCTAATCTATGTATTTATTATGGGGTGTTTGAGCGTTGAAAACCAATGGAGCAAGATGGTACAAATCCATTACTTTAATCCATAAACTACAAGACTATATCCATGAGTTGCAGAATTTGCATGATATTGGGTGCCAACAACTACAAACAAGTGATACCTATAAGGGAGGAGCACATATGGTCCCTACATCCTATTAGAGTGATCAAGATCAATACGGGTGCATCATTAGGACAAAATGTATGGATGTGGCTTGGAGTAGTGGGGTGAGGTCCATATGGTGAAGTGCTTTTTGCAAACATGCATAAAATACCCACACCTTTTTCCATTGACATTGGTGAGATACATTCTTTACTATTTAGTATGGAGACTGCACATTAGATGGGTTTCAAAGATAATATTATGTAGGGTAACTCTTAGATGTATTATAAACATCTTTTTTGTGTTGAATTTTTATCAACAAATGAGGTTAATGTGGGTTTCGGTGTACGTAACAGACTATCAATTTATTAAGTCAATTTAAAAGTGATCAATTACAGTTAAATAGTTATGGACCTTAATGCATCGGGTTGAAGTACGGACTTATAATATGTATAGATATCATATTTGTAAATTCTTATTTTATGATGGACAAAATAGGAAATAACAAAAGTCGACAATATAAAAAGTAGTTATGGTCCCCAAATCACATGTATGCACTTTGTTTATTTCTTATCATTCCATCAGCAATGAAAATTAGAGTTTTATAGTCACGTGTTGATTTAGAAGATCTACTGCAGAACACGAAGATCTCTTTCATTATAGATTCAGGTACGCTTTCGTGTTCATTTTCTCTGATTAAGTACAAGTTTACTTATTGTTTTCAGATTTGATTTGAATTGATTTTCCATCATTTTGTGCTTCCTTTACGATTTCAGATTCGGTTTGCTGGTTGAGGATGTAAACATTCTTAGACAATCTTTCATTCTTATGCATCATTTTGGATTCCTAGAACGTGCAATGTGGCCGCTCATGCCTTAACTAGAGAGGCTTTATTTGTGAGTGATGGTCACTATGTGGTTCATGAGCTACCAACTTATTTTGCTTCCCCTCATTTCTCTGAATTAACATATCTTCTAAGTAATGCTATTATATATTCACTTAAAAAAAAATTATTTGTATGTAATGGTTTGATTAATTTAATTTATATGTATATAATTCTTTAATTCTCATATGTTCAAATAATTATTAAAATAAATTATTTTATGCATTTTCGTAGGCATAGATATTTATTTATAGTGTATTGTAACTAATTTTAATTTATAAACTACATGAATTGCTAATAAAAATAAAAATACAAGTAATTAATTTACATTATTCATACTCAACAAATGTAAATTCCTATTTTTTTTTATTTAATCTATTTCAATAATATAACAAACATATTCAACATAACTTCATTGAATATACACGTAGACCATGTTTTGAATAATTAATGATCATATATATTTAAAATTAATATATTTTTATTTATAACATAATATATAACGAATTTGCACAAGTTTAAAAGTTAAAATTGACTTTCAAATATAAAAGATAATCAATAGAGTGAAACCCATAAGCTTAAAATTATTAATTTATAAACATATATTATAATTTGTTAATTCTAATATTAATATAAGTATTAATATTCTTTCTTGAGATTCCAATATTTGATTATATACTACTTGATCAAGTAATTGTCTCTACATGGCCAATATGTGTATAAATGGATGCGTCTTTTTATTTCACAATTTCTTATGGGTTTGAAATTCTCAAACTTCCAAAGCATCTCTTAAGTTAGTGAAAGCCAAATTTCAAAAGTGATGTAGTGGACAAAAGTTGGTTTCTTTCAATTATATATATATATATATGTGTGTGTGTATATATATATTATGCATCTATATACATGTATGTGTACATGTTTGTATTTATTTATATATATATATATATATATCTATCTAACGATAATTTGTAAGTGTGTGTATATATATATATATAGCTTCTTAATAATTAGAAATTAGCAAAGTTGCATGATTTTCTAATTGATTAGGCTATAACTTTAACTTAAAACCAAGCTAATCTTGTGAAATCTTAATAATCATTTAATAAATAATTTTTTTTATAAAAAATTATAAATTTGAGTTGTATTATGTTATTATAAATGTTATTTTTTTAAAAAGTTATTTACATTAATTATAATTAATATGCATATATTACTTAATTAATATCTATATATATATATGCTTTCTTAAAAAAATATTCACATATATTTAATATATAATAAAATGAATTGACAAGGAGGGGAAGGAATCCCATTTTCTAAAATTATTCATAAAATTTTAAACTTGTTTAATTGGGATTTATTAAACAATATTTCACACTTAATAATACGATTTAAATAATAATAAATCGTGATTAGAGGATTTGCATACAAACAAAAAATTGAAATCGAAGAGAAAGTTTGTGAAAAAGAATGAACAAAAGACAAACACAAAAGGATAATTAATGTTTAGGTACGGTTATAATTATGTTAATAATTTTTTTTTTAATTAACATTCTAATCATTTCATCATTTTATTATTGTAACAATTTTAAAAGAAATAATTTTCAATTATAATTCCTTATTGCATTGATATAACTTTTATTATTTATTAGATGCATGATTATCATGTAACATTTATTAATTCGAACATTCGCTGCTTATTAAGAAACTAAAATTTAATTAACTTATATAATCTTATGCAATAATTATAATTATACAAAAAAATTTGTTTTATTTTATATTTTTATTTTTGATTTCAAGAAATTGAAGTTCGTGGGGAATCATAAAGTACAGTTGAAAATGGTAAAATTCTATAGCTTGGGTTTTGTCTTGGGCTGGTCAGATCAGATCGGATCAGATCATGCCAATTAAGATTCCAGATCAGTAAGTCAATTAAGGTTGGCCATGATTTGAATGGGACCCAACAACTTTAATTATATATCTCTTGATGTTCGTATATATTTTGAATCATGTTCAATGTGCATATTCATATATATATATATATAATTGAATCTATTTTTAGTATTTTTTTTTCTCATTTCAAAAATAAGTATTGTTTATATGGTTCATAGATAATACTACTACATAAGATAAAAAAATAAAATTAAAAAATAGTTTTATGTAATAAATATAGTCTTAGTTTATGACTTGTATCTAATTGACTGGAAATATTTTTTTAAACATAAAATAATGCAGCAAAATAATTTGAGTAGATTGGCCACCAAAACTTGATAAACGTATCTATTGTAGACCATAGACGTCAATATGGAAATATATATATATATATATATATATTTTTGGGAAATGGAATCGTAGCTAAAGGAATCATATTATATTTATGTAATCTCTATATCCATACATAATTTCACTTGGTAAAAAAATTGATATGTTTAAACTCATTTAGATTAGGTTTTACACAATAAACTCATTTAACTTGTATATATAATATAAGAAATATATTATATTAAATAAATAATAATTACATAACCAGATTAAAAAAATCTGCATGAACATCTGTAATGAAAATTATATTTTATAATCGAACAAATATTTATTTTATTTGAACTCTATCATTCGAATATCATGTATTATAAATAATATTACAATGTTGATGATGTATATTTTGAATCTGTACGTATACTGATACGTCCCGCGTTATCAAAATCCTTTTAACAGATAAAAGCAAGATGTAAGGATTTAAGTGTCCAATCAGTTGTATAATCAGCATTATCATAAAATTCAATCAAATTTTTTTTTTTTTTTGAATTTCAGAGAAACAATATATTTCATTGTATCTAATTAAACATTCAAAACTAGAATTTAATAACTTTCTTGGATCAAATGTTTTTCAGAGGATGAAATGAGAAATTGAATTCATCTAAGAGCAGGGGAAGGTTTTCTAGTACTTACTCAGTGAAGATTATGTTGTCATGAAACAGAATCAAATTGATTTGAGTGGTAGAGTTGTGGAAAATTCCTGTTTCTTCAGCACTGTGTGGCAACTGGGCAACATACCATTTTAAGTGATTACTATATGAAATTATTGAATCAGTATTAGATGTCAAAAACTCACGACAAAAACATAAAGCTAATGAAAGAAGAATTTTCCCATAAAACGACACAGTCAAAGTTCATTGTATCTGCATACAGTACAATTTTTCGCCCCTAAAGAGTAGATATCATAAACATGATACTGCTGGATCAGCCAGCCGCCCAGGTTGCACATATAAGCAAAACCATAAATTTTTTTTTTTTTGAGAAGTTAAAGGAAAAACATAATTGGTTTGCTTTTGTATGGTAAGGCAAACAAAAAAGTATAAAGTACACAAAAATGAATAGCTAAACATATAAAGAACAAACAAATCATCGAAAATTTAATTCCTTTCCTCAAGTTGTCAAGGTAATTTACAAAGATTTTGAGGTTGTTAGAAAGCCAACCTCTTGGATGTACACAAAAGTGTTTAGCAATTGTATCCGTCAACAAATTAGTATTTGATGACATAGTGGCGCAACCAGAGGTCGTACATGACCATGTGGAAGGCATCGTATTTAATGGGAGGTGAATTCCATTGAAAATGCTTTTGAACCTGCAAAGTCGTGCCAGAAGAATTCCGGTTAGCCACAGAAATCAGCGGCAAGAAATTCAAGATCAGTCAGGTAGCATTTTCTTGAACAAGAGAAAATATTTGGCCAAGGTTTTCCAAACTGATGTAGAAAATGGTAGTTTCTTTGTTGTTGGGTGGTTAAGAAAATCAACAGCCCGTTCGGTTCCCCATTCAAAATCTAATTCTTTGTCCTAATTTTCATATTAATTTTAGCATGATAAATAACTCTTTTGTGGTTTAGTTACACAAAGTAAAAATAAAATGAATTCTTAAATCTTCGAGAGTGACGCAAAACACAAAAGCATCATGTTCTAGTTATGCATATGTTTCAAGCTATGTATAATAAACCACTTAACTGGGGGAGACTATATAGCAAAAGGACAAGGGAAGAGTTGTCCTTTTGCTAAAAGGGAACTAAATGCAATACAAAATTCTAAGGGTGTCCATTTCTATGTTTCTTCCTATATATAAACCCACTTAACAACGGGTGATTTATAGTAAAAAATGTAGATTTACCCAAAAAAAATTAGATGCAAATCTGAATTGGTCTTGCAAAACAATTTAGTGCTATGGAAAGTCTTCTACCTTGACTAAGTTCATGTGCAGCGAAGCAAATTTTGAATCAGGTATGTCCTTGAGGATTTTCTTGAGCTGGTATACATCACTCTCCTTGAGTACGACAGCAAACTTTTTCCAATCGAGAATGTCATTGAATGGAAGATCATAATAATTTGATAAAATCACTGCAAGAAACCGCACAAACAATTTAGAACAAGCAAACATATACTATCAAGAAGACAAAAAAATACTCCAAAAAACACTTGAGACTTCATACTAAAGACCTTATTGGGTGAATCTCTTGCAACTATAACGCAATTATTTTCATACCCTCAACTTCCCAGCACAGGTATGTTAAAATGACTACTAATTAAAACTATAACAATGTACATTTTAAATGACTGACATTTAAATTTTGAATAGTTTAACATATACAAAACCAGGGTTTCTTAGGTGTTTACCAAAATATTGAAGCATTGATTCCTGCGCATAATTGGTAGAATAGGACTAGCCTAAAAAATAACTAGACAGGGAGTAAAATGTGCTCAGTACCATCTAGTACTGTAGGGGATGCACTCTCAACTTTAGTTCAGAGTTTAGGAAAATAGATAGGCTTCCTCATGCTGAAGAATGCACTTAAAAGAAGCAAAAGAATCAGGTGAATGGCTGTGGTAAGAGGTTCAGGACTAGATATCCTATGGTACGGATCTGACTTCATTTACTTTATTTTATCAGCACTAATCATAGCGTTAAGGTCTAAGGGTTTGATAACAGAAACACTATAAACATTTCAACAAAGCAACAGCAAGGCTCTTCTACATGGCACCAAAAAGTATACATTTTGTTTGCCTTTCTATTTCTAGGTTGTAATTCATCCCCATTTTGTAGCATCCATATGTATTACTATCATATGAGGACTTATGTAACGGATAAAAGAGGCAGAGAACACAAACTCATAGAAATCTCCTCATTCAAACAGCTAAAAGAAACTGCACGCTTACCAGGAACACATCCATAGTGGATAGAGTCAGCTATGCGAGCGCTGTTGACCTGGGAGCCACCAGGGCATATGCAGAATTTAGTCCTGTAAAATCTCTTTTGATATACTAGATGCCCAGTAGCTCTATTTATTCTGTTGTTGGAAATATCCAATTCAGTATCATTCTCCCATACACGTGCAAGTATTACTCTAATCTTAGAGTTTCTATGACCAGCCCAAAAACCAAGGGTCGTCCTGCAAAGGATGCTTCTTGTTTATATACGGAAAAGAATTACCATTCGCTATAATATTGGTTACACAAAGCAACTCCAGAAGGCAACAATTCATCAAATATGAGACCACTTTTAGAGCAATAGAAAGAAGACAACATGATGCAGCACTGAAAAGAGAGATTATGCTACTCTCTGCCTATACATTGATCTGATAATAACAGACCATGCTGCGAAAGAATGTTTTTTGACACACAAAATTTATCAGTAGCAAGCATAAGGATGATTTCTGCGAAAATGCAACAGCTGTTCCTCCTAGAGCCAAAGGAACAACTATAAGACAGGATAGAATTAGTAAACATAGCTTATTAACATGTTATGTGCTAGTGAATAACCATCTAGTTAGCTAAAGACTGTCCAAAAGCACAAACTGTTCCACAAAATAATAGCTAAGATGAGAAGTTGAATAATTTCATTTAAATAAATACAGAAGAATGTCCTGTGGAGAAGAATATTAAACAAACCTTAGTTTTATTAACAAAACTAATTAAACAAACCCTAGTTTTATTAGCAAAACTACAAGGAAATAATCTCAACCAGAAAAAGAACTGTGGTAAAATAGAAACATGAAAAAAATTTTTGTCAATGCAATAAGACAGACACAAGTTGGTCATGGCATGAGCCAACAGAATACTTTAGACCTTCAGTCAAATTTATAATTTCTCAGTTGACAGATAGACTTGAAGTCTTCAACTCTTTATACTTACTTCTAGTCATACCAGTCCTATTAAAGTCCTCTATTGTTCCTTCTCTTCCAGTACCTTTTGCGTTGGAAAAAACTTTATCCTCCCCCACATTACTACCAGTTGTTTGGACAATGTACATACATATATATATATATATATATGACTTTTTACCGTATACAACCATAAAGATACTTTTTGCTTAAGATAATTTAAGATAATAGTAATAATTTTTTTAATAAATTAAATGGAAAATTGTACTTTTGATTTGGGCTGATGCTTAACTTAAAGAATAAGCCAGTAGACATTCCAAAATTAACAGAGTCATCATTCTTCTCTAAAAAACATTGTGCTACATCTCCAATATGTCCCAACGGATTGATAAAGGAAGATGTACCAACAAACTGCATTGATTCTCTCAAAAAAATGCAGAGGCTATATGAAATGGTAGTAGAAGATGAGGACCAAATGCACCTATTGAAACTTATCCTCCATTAACCAAAGAGCCGCACAAGGAGAATAATCTGTCAGGTGAAAGTAAGGGGAAAGAATCTTTTACCTGCTTTCTATATCATTTCCTCCAGCTGGAAGAGCAAAAGGTTGCAGTACTTGCGGAAGGGCAATATCCTTGTGTGGAATAAACCCTACATCATAGCTTGGTGAGCACACAGCTCGAATTGCATTTTTCACAAGAAATGGAACTCCCTCAGTTGCCCTAACACCTACGTCATGACAAGTTACAAAGAAGTGATCCGCTCCAAGAGTTCTGTTCCAGTAAGGATACTTGACTACTAAGCTGTCCACATAATTCTGAACAATTATGGTCATGTTCTCGTATGAAGTGCCCTACATAAAATCAAGTAATGTCAGTTATCAATATGAAGAACTTAAATCCTAAAAGTACCATCTGTTACACCTGCTGACAGATTCACAATTGATTTTATTGGTAGTCATATCCATTAATTCTTGCCTCAGACACTGCCTTGCCAATAATGGAAAGCAGGTCATCTATTACAACAGACAACAATGTGATTCACCATAAATTTATTACGTAGTCACATTCAATTATTGCTGCTTAGGCATTGTGTAAGGACTGACCTAGACCAAGGGGGGTTCGACAAGTGAGGAGAAGGCGGGGAAAAATACCAGCAGACCGCTGCTGGTTTATTCAAGGAAGGTCAAAGCCAAAATGGATAATTGAATTAGCAGGAGGGCAGGTTAGGTGTATTCGGCGCATCTATTAGTAATTTCATTATCGTTATTCCCATTTCTGCCAGCTAGCATTTTTCTTCTGTTAGTTTGTTATGGATTCCTTTTGTTATTGTACCAACTGCCAATAGCCAGGTAAAATTAGGAATGTACTCTGCGGTATGGTATGGAAAATCTAAATGAAAAATCTATGAGAAACCACTGAATCATCAGTGAATTTCCTCACCCTAGTCTCTCATTCTCTTCTATTTTCTACATTCTACCTTTCCCTCTTATTCTTCACTCTCAACCCTATTTTCTTCCTTTGCATCACATAAATACTCACCGTTGGGGTCTATGTCTAAGGCACCTGACACATTGCAACACCAATTAGATATGCTGCATGCATAATTACTCCAAGGCATGCAAGTCCTAGTTTAGGTATTAGTAATTAAACATTATTTATTGAGCAACTACAGTTATTTACAAAGAGGAAAGCCTCACATGTAAACGAAGTTTAAAAAAGTATGTTTTGGATATAAAAATCAAGAAAACAGAATTGGGAACAGAAAGAAAACAACCCCACTTTAAAATGCATAAACAATGAAATGAAGCAAAATCGGTAGAACTATCCTACCAAAAAAATTGAAGCAATAAGTATCAAATAATATTGTTGGACTTAAGGTTCACTACCTTCTGACCAAAGTTAAGAAGAGTTAACCTTCTGTTAAAATTCAACTCATGCATCCGATCTCGCCCCCATAAAATAAAGATGCTGTACACTTATCAGGTGATTGTTTAAAATTTCTAATTCAATCTTCAAGCTTCAATTTCAAATCTAAAATGCATGCACCACGCCTCCACAAATCCCACAGAAAAGGGATCTGACATTTACCCAAACAGTTCATTTGCCAAGACTTCTTGCTTCTCTTTACAGAAAAAAGGAAGAGAAGTTCAGAGTTACTAAAGCTTATGGTCTTACAACTTCAATTCAGCTTAAAAAAGTAAGAAAAAACGCACGGTACGTTTGGACATTCTTTTTTCATACTTTCTCAACGACCAAACAAGAGAGGAATGACACATGAAAGAAGCGCAGTTACCTTGCCTCGCATCTTGTGGCAAGAGATCGGGATGAAAAACAGGTCTGCTTGATCCGGATCCATGGTGCGAAATCGACTCTCCCGGATATTCTGGAAGAAGTAGCCCTCGCTGGCATACTTACCTGTGAGTTTCCTCGGTGTCTGATAAAAAGTATTTGGATCACCGTCGGGGTAAATGTAAACTTTGAAACTCCTCTCCATCTCCGCGTAATTCAAGCGAAACACCTCCGGCAAATGATAAACATCCGACAAATCCCCCCCTCCACCATCACTCTCACCCTTCCTTCTGTCCACAGTAATAGCAGTAACGGTGGTTACCTGCAAGTGTGGTCAACAAAAGAGGATATTAGTTAAAACGAAATGGTGAAAATGAAAGTTGAAGAAGAAGGAGAAGAGAAAGCTTGCTTGCGGGGGGACCTGAGGAGCGGAGGAGTTGAGGGAATTGAGAGAAAGGTAAGTGAATGAGAGGAGCGTTAAAACGGCAAGGGAGAGAAGAGATGCTTTCAGGGAGCATAGTGGTGATGTAGCGGCCGAGGCGGAGGAGAAGGAGGATAGCAGCTGTTGCGGTTGTTTTCCAGCTGACATCGACGGTAAACGGCGGGAAAGTTACGCGACGCCAGTGAAGTGCCTTGTCGTAGTTTCGATGAGGAGAGAATCTTTAGTAACGTGATGATGTATGGTTCGAGAAAGTCGCCTCTCTGCTCACGCTCCCTTTTTGTTTACTCTGCTCTGAGCATAAACCGAAACGACAGCGTTTAAATCTGACTTGCTGACATAAACTTTTCTCATTTAAAAAAATGGGATCATTTACCTACTTTACAGGCTATTAATAATTCATTTAAATTACTGAAAATTAATAATTTAATTCTAAAATTTTATAAATTGTACTGGAACAGTACCTTATTTTGAGGTTACAAAAAAAAAAAAAAAAGAAAAACTAACACTGTGTTTAAAATATATAGAGCATCCTGAAAATTCAAGGAGTTGAACCAGATTCATCTAAATTGATCACTGCTTTACATACATCAAAACCTAATTTCTCTGGCACAAAATATCATTCAAAACTAATTTCTTAGCATAATCTGTACAGTAAATAACTCCTCAGTATTGCTCAGGATGAACCAGAGCAGGCTGCAGCATATACAAGAAAATCCCACCTGCAACTGAAACATTGAGAGACTCCCACCCCCCGGCCATTGGAATGCTCACAAGCTCACATGTGCTGTATGATGTCTCCGAAAGACCATGTCCTTCGCTGCCCAAAACCAAGCACAAGGGCACATCTATTAAGCAATTTACAAAAGCTTGAGACAGTGTAGAAACAGATTTTTTTTCTCCATTATGTGCCGGGTGGCCGGCTAGCATTGTCATTTGAAATGCATCCTGTAGAGCTTTAAGATGAATCCAACCACCGGAAACAATAGGGAGTTGAAATGAGGCTCCCCGACTGGCTCGCAGTGCTTTCTCATTGAATGGATCACAACAGCCAGGAAGAAGAAATACTCCACTCTATCACATTTTGATCTATGCATTAGATTTTATTCATAAAAAATTCTATCCCAACTGTGAGTTGGGAAATAGCAGTTCATCTGATTTTAAGAGTGATCACATTTTCCAGATTGTCAAAAAGGGTTTTTTGTTGGATGGTTGTTGTTAGTGGAGGACCAAGGGGAGACAATCAGAACAATTCTTGTATAACAGGTGTACATTAATTTGGTATTACATTTCTATTAATATCATCATAAAAGTATGATTCTATTAATTTTATTAGTTAATTCAAGTGTTTGCAAGTTCTTAATGAAAACATGATACTATATCAACATAGACCCATTTCATAAGAATTCCTCTAGGCAACAGATGATGAATGTCAAAACAGCATGACAAAGTATATAACTGTAAAGTAAGGAAACATACAAATGAGAGAGAAAGAAAAGCTTTCTCCCTTCATCCTCACCCATTTAAAGGCTATAGCTGATCTCAGCAGTGTTCCAAGGTTACCAGGGTCCTGAAAGAGGAAACTATCATGAATCAGAGAGATGGCCACTGTTTATAGTCATTTGACCTCATGACCAAACAGTTTTGGCAGGACTATAATCATAAATAAGCAGAAGTTCGCATATTGAGCATGACTGGAGAACCTCAATGATGCCCCAGAAATATCAAAAGCTGGTATAAAGAATCATGGAATTTTAAATAAATTCGTCTATGATGACAAGTGTGTCTAATACACTTATTCCTAGTTAATACAATAGTTTCATTTCATTAGGTCCTGTCTCCAGACTCAAGATAGGCTTTTCCCCTTTTCATGAAGATAGGAAGTTATAAGAATCCATGGTTCTTCCAGAAACAATATATTGAGAAGAAATAATTGATTGTCCATCAATTTTACCAAAGGCTTGAGTTAATAGGAACTGACCAAATTTGTTATTTATATTTTATATACAACTTTTCACTTGTAAACCCAATAGATTGATTGCATAGATCAAGAAGACGGCTGTTATATTTTCACAAAATTAAATTTTAACAGAAATAGTAAAGTCAGAATCTAAAAACTCGAGCTATAGCTACCTAACATCTTATGAATTAATTATTATAAACAATTATCCCAAAAGCGTAAGTTAATAAGAAAAAGTTAATTGATTACATTTTTCTAATAGACACATTGATATACTAATACATCTATCTTTGCATTTGTGCCGACTGTTAGTTTAGTATTTTTTTTAGTACAACTGTTAGCTAACTATTTTGTAAACTTGTAAAGCTGAAAATTGGATATAGCCAACTGTCAGCAATCGCGACTTGATAAGGTCTGAATGGCTATCTAGGACCAACTTTTACACAGTATTCAAGCTTACAACAAGAACATCAATAGAAGAACAACAATGAAACAGTTTGGAGAAATTGTATGTAACCTGGATCCCATCAAGAACTAGAATTCGCTGCTGGGATGGGAACCAGCTATGACAATCTGCATCTTTTTGATCACTAAGATCTACGAAACTGCTTGGAATTCTCATTAAGGCAATTGCTTCAATAGATTCGGTTGACTGCATCCCAGAAAGCTTTTTCATCACCACAGAGCTAACACACACAATACGAGTAGAGAGATCCTCTAATCCTTTGGGAATCTCAGCTTTTTCATGCAGTAGCAGACAATCAATTCCAGTAGTTTTCTTTTGTACTGAATCTTGAAACATGCAAATTTCCCTGTATATAGTAAGTTCAAGTACCATCAACATGTAATACATTAGACATCCGAAGCTTAGCACCATTACAGGATTGGCTCCAGGACCATCAGACGGAGAACTCAAATTAAGGGTATGCTTGGAAAAAATACATAAATCTTGTAGTATTCATTTGTATATTCAGTTCAACCAGATGGATAGAGAGAAAGAAGCACAGCTAGACCATCATTCTTTTCACTCCACGATACATAACGACAAAGTATTGAGCTGTCTTCAAGGTCTGAAGTTACTGCATCTAAACAATGTGCAGCTTGCAGAGAAGAATGTTCCATGTATGTGATCATATGCTATTTCCAATAAACACCTTAATAACTACAGAAAAATCAATTCAAATTCCTTTTTATAGAGCCTAACTGTCCTGTATATTTCAACCATCATCAGCTAATCATTTACCCTAAACTTTCAAGAACGGCCAAAGGTAACACTTTTTTTGCAATTACACCACGGATAATTGTTCTAAGGGTTATCAGTTGAATCAAAGTTTCCCAACAGCGAAACAGATAAGAACCCGAGAAAGAAAAAAACAAAATGAATAAATACCCATCTCAGTTCACTGCTTGTTAGTTGAAATTCACGGAGTACCCAATTCAAATAAAGCTGAAAGAAAGCAAGGAGGAACAAAAACTCACCATATAGGGGTAGTGCCCACAACGAGAGCAGAACGATGAGAGTGGCGATAAGAGGAGCTCTGGCGAAGCTTGAGACAGTGTTTCACAAATGGGTTCGAAGTACTCGTAATGGATTTTACATGAGACGGCAAAGGAGATTTTACCACCTGGAAATTATCAGAATCGACATCAGCATCAGCAGCAGCACGATTATCAAAGCGAGTATGGATTTGGGCGGCGCGAAGTCTGGCAGGTGAAGCTGATAGGTTGGGATTTGGAGAAGGTGAAATTCTGATGAATGGAGGATAGGGAAGTAGGGGTAGTGAGCAGGAGGAATATGGGCATTGCATTCTTCTGGTACTAGCATCACCATGCCCCCATCATGGTGTTCTCAGAAATAGATAATTACAGCAAACACTTTGCTCCCTCCAAAAATGTTGATGAAAGCCTCAAAGTTCAGGAGCATGCTATAATTACACCTCTTTTTTTTTTTATAAATAATTTTAAATTTATAAAATTATTTTCATATAAGTATGATTTTTTTTATACAAGTATGAAAATTTTGTAAAAAAAAAAAGTATTTATGTTTTTACCTATATTATATATATATATTGTAAAAATTTAGAAGTTATGATAATAAAAATTAGTTTATTTTTCTTTCAAAAAAATTAATTTATTAAAATTATAACCATTTAACTTTTAAATTATATTGATAATAATAGGTTAAAATATAAAATTTATTTTCTATATTATTTATTTACATTTAATTTAATGTATGTCTCATTTTACGTTAAAGTAAATTTTATGATTAATTTTTTTTCTATATATTCAATTTCAGTTATTATTATATATTATTAATAATTAATATGACGAATAAAATTTATAATTGTGTACTTTTTAAAATAGTTTCATGACAAATTAAATGTTATATTAAATATAATCTAATATATGATATTTAAGTTAATAGTTAATAATAAAAAAAAATTAAATAAAATTTTTTATGAATATATAAGAATTAATTTAATGTAAAATAAAGATAATGGCTAAATTAAATAAAAATAAAAATTAAAGAAATCAAAATTATATTTTAATCGATAATAATAACATATATTAGCATAGTTTATGTTAAATAAAAATATTATATCTTTTAATTCTTTTATGCCATTACCATAAAAGATTCTTCTTAGTTTCGGGCCGGAGCCTACCCGGCCCAATTTGTACTAGTGTCATGCACGATTCAAATTGCCATTGGATCCACGAAGACCCTCCAAAAACTTTCAACGGTAAAGTTTTTTTATTTTCTCAACGGTCTCATAGAATTCAAATTCGTGGAAACGCACCAGGAAAAGGAAATACTTTGCATTAATTTTCTTTCCTCTTCTTCAAGGTCTGCACTCTTACCTGATAGTAACGGCTACACAGAGAATAACAAGAAAGAAAAGCTGGTTCTTTATCGCTGAATCTCAAGAAAGTTTTTCCGTTGCCAAACTCGCAAAACCCTGGTTTTTTCCGTTGCCAAACTCGCAAAACCCTGGTTTCTTGGTTTTGTTTTCCCATGGAAGATATTCAGTTCACCGCAATTCAACAAGGCCCAAAAATCCCATGCCCCGATTTCTCTGTTTCTTGGGTTCTTGATGCGGAGAAAGATGAAATCTCGAACAAGGAAAGTGAAGATTCTGCGATCGACGAATGTGAAGACTCTTTGTTCGATTCTGTCATTTGTGACCCGGACTCGAGACTGATACCTACAGGGTTCACCAGATGTAATTGTACAGGTAGGTGCTTTTTGTTTTTTAAGAAAAATTATCTTCCATGCTAGAGAAATAAGCATGTTAGTCCAGTCTCCGTGCTGGTTGGTTAGTAAACAGCGAAAAAGAAGAAGGGTGATGGAATCAGAATGGTCTTTTTTTTTTGTTGGAAAGTTCATTTGTGGCTTTAGCTCATGATTGGAGATGAGTTAAACGATTGCAGAAATGAGATTAAGGAATGTAACTTCTAAAACATTTTGAACCGGAAAAGGGGGAAAACGTAGAAGCTCAAGAGCAAATCTAGGGTTAGGTTTTCCAGGGATTTAGGCATATATTATTAGGTTTAGAAATACACTAATCAGTTTCCTTATTCGTGGTGAGAAATTATGGACCGTTAGTTAGTTCATTACAGTATCATTTTGTAGAAAATTTACTAATAATTTTTTCTCAATTTTTTCTTTTTTTTCAAACAGATGAAATACTGATGTTTGTAAATGCTGGAGGTGAGGATTTAAAGGATGCAGGTTCTAGTGCGGAATTTCTGGGGGACAGATATTTTGAAGGAGGAAATGTCCTAAAAACTAATGAACTTATCAATGAGGCTGGAGATTTTCCTTTCATATATCAATCAGCAAGATTAGGAAACTTCTGTTACCGGTTCAAAAGTCTGCCTTCTGGGGAGTATTTTGTTGATCTTCATTTTGCAGAGATCATAAACACCAATGGACCTAAGGGAATGAGGGTATTCAATGTGTACATGCAGATAGAGAAGGCAAGTCAATCCAGGAAAGATCATTTAGCGCATCTGTGAATTTTCATTTAAGGTTATGTTGGAAAAAAACACTTGTAGATTTTGTGAGTTTTATTTGTAAACTAACACTTAGTTCAAATACTAGAAGGTGAGAATTCTCCTATGAAAGTTGAATTATATAGAATTCCACGTTGAATCATACACAGTTATGTGGGTTAATCTCTATTATCTTTTAGTAGGATGTGTATAGTTTTCTAATTGAATTAGTGAGACTTTACGAATAAATTCCAAAAAAATTGGACATCTGTTGCAAATATAGCCTAGTCATATTTGATTCAGTACTTAAAAGTTGTTATTTGGGATATGGCAGGTCTTATCAGAATTTGATATCTTCTCTGTTGTTGGAGCTAATAAGCCATTGCAAGTGGTTGGTACGAGAGTCAAAGTTAAGGGGGATGGGATACTAATTATAAGGTTCGAAGGGGTCAATGGAAGCCCAATGGTTTGTGGGATTTGTGTGCGGACAGCACCAAAGGTTTCGGGTAACATCATTTACATTTATTGAGTTTGCAATATCATTTAGTTATCATTTAGTGGTCAAAGTGATTCTTACAAGCATAGTCATGAATGATACTTATTTCTACCATGTCTATTATCATGTGGATAGATCCACAGGTTCCACACGAATATCTTAAATGCCTCAACTGTGCTGCTCCAATTGAGATTTCTTCAGCTCAGGTAAGCAGAAAATATGTGAGAGATTACAGAGTTTATGGTTTTGATTTTTGTATAGCTTTTTGATCTTTTGTTCTGTAACAAGCAGAAGAAATTTGGCCGAGCTAAAGCTACAGAGAAGTATGAAAAAAAGATACAAGAGCTTACTTTTCAGTGCCAGCTTAAGGCCAATGAATGCCATGAGGCATGGATGTCTTTGACTTCAGCAACTGAACAATTGGAGAACGTTAGAATGGAACTTGACAACAAAACTTTTCAAGCACGTTCTCTTGGTAATCATAAAGTCCAAAATGTTTACTAAATGTCTTTTTTAAACGGAATACCTTGTTGTATTAAGTGCAAGACTGTAGCATGATTACAGGAAGTTTTCTTTTCTTTTTTCTTTTTCAATAAACTAAAAAATATCTATAATAATTTTGCTTCAGTTAAAAACTGGGGAAATCTAAGGTGTAAAATGTATTTCATTGATAGTATTAGATTTAGCAGGTAGCAACCCTGCTGAGACCTGGCAAATTATCAAACAATTGTAAACTAGCAGATAGTGTATTATGCAGGATGGAGTTGCAATGTTGGCTTTTTAATACCTTAGACGGTTTTCCATGTGCGTTGCAATCAGTTAGTGCTTATGTTTGAAGACGTAGTAATTTTATGTTACTTTGATTCCAAAAATATATGCTTTTATTATTTTGTTCTTGGTAGATGAAACTGTGGTAAAACAAGGCCAGGATCTAAGGGCCATTAGTAAGAGGTATGAGGAGGATAAGAAGAACTGGGCTACTGCAATCAGTGATTTACAAGAGAAAATAACTGTAAGACACTACATCCTGTCAGAATTTCACATCACAGTTCTGTTCTTACATTAACTTTGGTTATTAGTATTTTGCATCATCATAATTTATTGCAAGCAGAGAATGAAGAATGAGCATGCCCAGCTCTCTCGAGAAGCTCATGAATGTGCTGATTCTATACCTGAGTTGAATAAAATGGTGGTTGGGGTTCAGGCATTACGTAAGTTTGAATATCTTAGTTTCCCAAGTTAGGCTTGCAGCGGACTCATGCATGCATAATGTTGGTATTGTTATACAGTTGCACAATGTGAGGATCTCAAGTTGAAGTATAGTGAAGAGCAAGCAAAGCGAAAGGAGCTTTACAATCGAATTCAAGAGACTAAAGGCAAGTATTTCTTATGTGCTGAATTTAGGTTAACAATCTATTGCATTATCTATGGAGAATTCTGTTTCAAAATACTCAAGTTCATTATTAAATATCAGGTAATATTAGGGTTTTTGCCGGTGCCGTCCGCTGAGAAAGGATGAGATATCCACTGGATGTGCAACAGTTGTGGACTTTGATGCTGCAAAAGATGGAGAGCTTGGTGTCCTGATGGGTGGCTCCACCAAGAAAAATTTCAAATTTGACAGAGTGTACACACCAAAAGATAATCAAGGTCTTGCTATGATGTATCACAATAATTTATAGTTATGGTATGAGCTCTTAGTTGTGAACCATGTGTTGAACTGGGATTTTTCTTTTACCCCTGACAGTCGATGTCTTTGCGGATGCCTCCCCGCTGGTGATTTCAGTGCTCGATGGGTACAATGTCTGTATATTTGCTTATGGGCAAACAGGTACGGGAAAGACATTTACAATGGAGGGAATTGAGCAGAATAGGGGAGTCAATTACAGGACTCTTGAGCAACTCTTTAAAGTTACCAAGGAAAGGAACGAAACTTTTACATACAATATATCTGTTAGCGTGCTTGAGGTCTACAATGAACAGATAAGAGATCTTCTGGCTACATCTCCATCATCCAAGAGGTAAGTTGCTGTGTTTTTCACTCTATGTATCCATTGAAAGACTTATACCTGAATATATGGTCAAATAGGTGACTTGGCGTGTGTAAGAATTAGGAAAATGAATACTAAATATTTACTTATTTTTATTGAAATAAAAGTAGAAATATATATACATGTACATGGATTCATATATGGTAACTAACATAAATTACCCTAATAATTTTCTTCATAATTACGCTTACATATTTAGAAAGATAATCATACTATTATGTACAAAAAATACTTTATAATATTCTAACATTTTCTCTCAACTTGAAGTATAGATATTAATCATGCTCAGGTAGTTCTGAAAATACTCAATCCGTATTTCATTCAGAGACTTTGTGAATATATAACCAAGTTGAACTCCTATCTTCACATAACCAATAGATATAAAATTTTTCTAAATCTTCTCTCGGATGAAGTGACAATCAATCTCGGTATGTTTGGTTCTCTCATGATACACAGGATTTGAGACAATATGAAAGGTAGTCTGATTATCACACCAAAGTTTTGCAAGAGATGTAGGATTCAAACCCACTTTATTTAAAGAATGATATATCCTTAAGACTTTATTATGTGGATTGGGTCATAACTCTATATTCAGACTCTGTGCTTGAGCGATATACAATTGTTTGTTTTTTACTTTTCCATGATACGAGATTCCCACCAACAAAAACACAATAACTCGTAATAGACCTTCTATCAATCTTAGATTCAACCTAATCAGCATATGTAAAACATTCAATGTGAGTATATTTGTAAGTTTTAAACATTATGCCGAGTTCCGGGGTACCTTTTTAAATAGCACAAAATATGTTCAAAAACCTCCCAATGCTTAACTGTATGTGTAGACATAAATTGACTTATAATGCTGACAGGATATGCAATATGAATGAGTCATAGTAAGGTAATTCAATTTCCCAACTAGTTGCCTGTATTTTTCTGGATCATCAAGGAGATCACCATAATCTTTTATAAGATGTACATTTGGTACTATAAGCGTATGACTTAGCTCCCACATTTCCTGTTTTTGCAAGTAGATCAAATACATACTTCCTCTAAGATAACAAAATCCCTTCATTCATTCTTGTTACTTCAGCTTTCAAGAAATAGTTTAGTTATTTCAAGTTTTTGGTATTGAATTTGGTCTGCAGTAATGACTATAGAGAGGATATTCCTACATGGTCATCTCCTATAATCACAATATCATCAACATAGACAATAAGAAGTATAATACCAATTGTTGATTGTCTATAAAAGATTGAATCATTACATTTGCTCTTTTTTAATCTGAATTCACAGACTCTACTTCAAACCATATAAAGATTTCTTCAAATAACAAACTTTTTCACACTCCTCCTGAGCAACAAACCCAGATAGTTGCTCTATATACGCTTCTTTTAAGAGATTATCATGAATAAATGCATTTTTATTATCCAGCAGGTGTAAAACCTAGTCTCTGGAGGCTGCAGGAATGACTTTAGAGAGGATATTCCTACATGGTCATCTCCTGTAATCACAATATCATCAACATAGACAATAAGAAATATAATACCAACTGTTGATTGTCTATAAAAGATTGAATAATTACATTTGCTCTTTTTCAATCCGAATTCACACCCTACTTCAAACCATAAAAAGATTTATTCAAATGACAAACTTTTCCATACTCCTCATGAGCAACAAACCCAGATGGTTGCTCTATATATGCTTCTTTTAAGAGATCATCATGAATAAATGCATCTTTAATATCCAGCAGGTGTAAAACCCAATCTCTGGAGGCTACAGGAATGACTTTAGAGAAGATATTTCTACATGGTCATCTCCTGTAATCACAATATCATCAACATAGACAATAAGAAATATAATACCAACTGTTGATTGTCTATAAAAGATTGAATAATTACATTTGCTCTTTTTCAATCCGAATTCACAGACTCTACTTCAAACCATATAAAGATTTTTTCAAATGACAAACTTTTCCATACTCCTCCTGAGCAACAAACCCAGATGTTTGCTCTATATACCTTTCTTTTAAGAGATCATTATTAATAAATGTATTTTTAATATTCAGCAAGTGTAAAACCCAGTCTCTGAAGACTGCAATAGATATGAATAAACGAACAGAGTTTAACACCACTGGAGAAAATGTATCAGAATAGTGACTGCATAAGTCTGAGTATAACCTTTTATTACCAATTAAGCTTTAACTTTCGCCATAGAGTCATCTGAATTCACTTTGATTGCAAATACTCATTTGCACCCTACAGTCTTTTTTCTTTTGGGTAAATCTATCAGATCCCAAGTATGATTATCATTAAGAGCATTTATCTTCTCGAGTATGATATTACAATAATTAGAGTGATTTAGAACATCTTTAACTGTCTTCTCAAGCATGACATTACACTAATTAGAGTGATTTAGAGCATCTTTAACTGTCTTCGGTATGAAAGCGGAGTCTATAGAAGCAATTAAAAAGTTAGACGAAGGAGACAAATGATCATATAAAATGAAATTAGCAATACGATAAGTAGAATGAGAAATGGTGCATTGACGTGTACCTTTACGAAGACTGATGGGAATATCAAGATCATGGATGGAAGGATCATATGACGAAAAAGCGGGTGCAAGACATGTATTATTAGTTTGTAGTCTTCTGGAATAAATATAAATAATGGACAGTTGTTCTTGAGTGGCGCACCATCGTCAATTTGCTCAGAAGACACATAAGATAAATATCATTATTTGGTTGCTCCGTAGAATTATTGTTCTAGAATTTGTAAATGAGCCAATAATCGTTATTCACCTAATATGTAGAACTGGACTGTGAGAAAAAAAACGATATATTCTCTGGGAAGACTACATCGGTTGACACTAAATATTTATTAAGATCTGAAAAATAACACTAATATTTCTTTTGCATGCGAGAATATCTCAAAAAGATACATTTCAAGATTTTGGGATCCAACTAATACTGAGTCGTACATGTCGAACATAATAAGTACTACCAAATACGCGTGGCTATACTAGAAACAATGATTTGTTTGGAAACAGAATACTGTAAAGAATATCACATTCGAAAATTGCAGATGGTAGACGATTAATTAGGAAACAGGCAGTGGATACAACTTCAATTCAGAATTGTTTAGGAACTTGTATCTGAAACAAGATGGCTCGAAAAATCTAAATATCTGTTCTTTCTCTCAGTAGGGGTGTTTTGAGATGGTGTATCAACACAAGAATACTGATGAAGAATCCCATGTTGAATCATATAATTCTAAAATGAGTCTGACATATTTTTTAACGCTATCACTTCTTAGTATATGCACAAAAATATTAAATTGAGTTTTGATTTCCGCATGAAAAAGTACAAAAATAGACAAATACTTCAGAATGATTTTTAATAAAATATATCAAAGTCATTCGAAAAAAATCATCAACAAAAATAATAAAATACTTAAAGATTACTTCAAACATAACAGGATATGCACCCCAAATATTTTAATGAACTAATTCAAAAACAAATTTAGCTCGTTTATTAATTCTTGGACTTAACTATTTACAATAATGTTTTGCAAACTGACATGACTCATAATCTAATAAAGATACATCATGAAACTGAGAACACAATTTTTTCAATACAGTGAGAGATAAATGTCTCAACTGACAATGTGTTTCAAATGAAAAGATAATACAAGAGCAGACAACTGATCGAGGCACCAAACTATCAAGAATGTAGAGATTTTCTGATATCTGTTTTTTAACAACAATATGTTTTGTCATAAGATTCTGAAAAAAATAATGATCAGGAAAGAATGAGATACAACAATTAAGATTTTTGATAAGTCTACTTAGAGAAATCAAGTTGAAAGTAAGTTTAGGTAGACTTAAAACAGAGGCAGGGTAATGGTGAAAATTTGTTTTGTAGTCCCAGAACCCTCAATATTGTAAGTTGATCCATTAACAATAGTTATAGGAAAGGGTGCTCTATGTGATCGAAAACTAGAGAAGATATTAGGGTTACCTGTCATGTGATCTATAGCACCAGAATTGATCACCCATTTGTTTGATGAGAAGATAAGACATTTTTTACCTAATTCAACAGAAGTAGTGGCTACTGTGCATTATTTCAAATATTCTTGAATCTGAGATAATCTTGCATACTTGTCGGCTGAAATCATAATAGTTTTCTCAGAAGAAAAGCTAGCAGTAGCAATATTCGCAGTTTGTGTTCTCTAATTCTAATTTTGTAATTTCTTGCATTGTTGCTTCGTATGTCTTTCTTCATGACAGTAATAACAAACAATATTGTTTGAATCATTATACTGACTATCTATTGCTCTGTTTTCTTTCCTATTTTTATTTCTTCATCTTCCTCTAGCAACAAGAACATTAGCATGCTGATTAAATGTAGTAGTCTCTGTGCGTAACACTTTATTGAAAACTTACTGAAGAGATGTGATCTTGGAACCAGATATAATTTGAGATTTAACAGTCTCAAATTCATATGGAAGACCAGCCAAGAAAATCATTATGACCATTTGTTATCTCTATGTTTGCTTTACCTCAATATCAGCACTGAACAACAAAAGTACATTGAGCTCCTCATATGTCATTTTAAATTTTATAAAATAAGTCGTGAGAGATTTGACCTCATTCTTAGCACTATAAAAAGTCTTACATACATCATACGTACAAGACGCATTTTCTTTGCCTGAATACAGAAACTCTAAATAATCCATTTATCTCTTAGTTAAATTTGTCTAGTTCCATCAGTGGGAGGGTCTTGAATAAAGTGATCATCTTTGTCAATATTACGTAAATAAACCTTGATAGTTTTGCTCCATTTTAGATAATTTGTACAATTTAATTTATGCTCAGTAATCTTTGACACGACTGAGACTATTTTACTCATCGAAAACTTGTTATCACTCATTTTTAACTTAAGAATATTTACAGATTGTCACCCAAAATTATCC